ATATATATATATATATATATATATATATATATATATATATATATATATATATATATATATATATATATATATATATATATATATATATATTCAGGCTAGACATCTCATTATGACTTTATTGTGTACAGTAACAATACATTCCAAGGGCTAATTATGTATTCCGTGAGTAAATGTTTTTTTTCACCAAATCTGTTTTATTGGCTGCTCCTTGGTTCTAATGTTTTGAGAAAGGGAGAAAAATATATCTTTGACCAATATTGGAAGACTGTCCCAAAGGTGCTTTTTCAAAAGGCAACTGAACTTTGTTTTTTTCTTGAATACATTTTGCTTCTGATCCAAGTAGCTTCTACAGTTGGATTTTCACTTCTCATTCATGCTTCTTTTTGGATGAGAAGCAAAATGTCTTCAAGGAAAAACAAAGTTCAGTTGCCTTTTGAAAAAGCACCTTTGGGACATCATGACCTGGATGACTGAGAATCTCCATAGATATTGGATCACTACTATCATGTCACCCCTAGTCTTTCTTTTCACTAGACTACACATAACCAATTCCTGCAACCATTCTTCATATGTTTTAGCCTCCAACCTCCTAACTATCCTTTTGCTCTTCTCTGCACTCGTCTGGTCTCCTCACAGTTATTTTCAGGTTTTAACATCCTAAATAATTTAGTATCAACCACAAATACAACCCGTCGACTGATTATCCAAGATGCAATCTCTCTGAATAATAGTCTACTGTCATCCTTACTGTTAGGATGCTTTTTCTAACATTTAATCTAAATTAACTTTAGTATGATTAAAATCCATTATTATGCATTCTGCACTATGAAACAAAGGAAAACAGTTCTTAACCTTCCTCTATTGACATCAAATATTTGAACAGTGCTATCATAGTTCCCTTCATCCTACTTTTCTCAAGCCTAACTATATCCATAATCATATCAATTAATCATGTCTTTATATCAACCCTTAAGATTCAATAGTTTAACATACTTCCTTAATTAAATGTTTTGAGGGGACCTTTTATGCAGAAGTGTAGTTAAATAGTGAAACCAATTACTGAGAGATATGCTGTGTACCCTGATGATTTAGATTGAAGCTAGACAGCCATCTATCCAGCATGTCTTGAGTTTAGAGTCCTGCACTGGGTACTAGATTTAATGTCTGCAATGGTTTCTTCCCAGTCTGGCACATTTCCCCCCCACAGGAGTAAAACAAACAAGCTAAAACAGGAGTAGGGGTATAGTGAAAGTAGATGTCCATGCAGCACAGGTGCACAGGAGACACTTTTTTGGCCAGTGGATATGGACAGGTAGAGGGAGACTATCCAGTGGCTTGTCTGTCACCATCATTCACAGTCACACATGATACCCAGAGAAAATGTTTGGGGCTGACTGCCTCAACAAGCACTGTGGGATCGCCCAGCCTGAATTGTATGCTCAAGCAAAGGTCTTCCAGGCTAAGTGACTTTGGCACATGCTAGGAGCTATCTTGAAACTGCCCACCTTGAAGTACTTGGGTGAATGTTACCAGAGAAGGCTGAGAAATGTTTCCTACTGCATCACTGAACCAAAATAATTTGAGGTTGTCTAAATGACTTTGCCATGGCAAATTGGGTAGCTTCTTTATTTTAGCAAAGCAAATCAGATAACCTTCACTGAATAAATCACCTTGCTGGGGGAAATTTTAGCTGTTTTGCATAAATTCATTCTGATCCAGAGTTGCCTCTCTTGGCTTTGTATGTGCAGAGAGACGTCCTTCCAACAGAGAGAAGATTACTCCACTTTTTTTTTTCTGGTGTGTCACTTACAGTACTTCTTCCAAACAACAGAGTGGGAAAAATGTTATTCCCAGATCAGGAGCTGATTAACTGAATGGATTATTTGGTTATTAACTTTACTTAGTCATAGCATTTGTGAACACATGAGTAACACTGATTAATATCATGCACTACTCATATGTAAAGGTTTGGGGGCCAATCCTATAGATCAAGAAAATGGAGATGACACATTCTAACAACATGGAATAAAATGGAGTAGTTGTGGGTGCTGTTACCCATATTTAAAGTGAGCTGAGGCTTTGCACTAGAGTTAAACTAAATCTAATTTAGTTGCAGATCTTACTAAACCAATCACGGTTATTACTTTTTGCACAGTGATTTCTTCTTGTGTTATCACTTCTAATGGAACAGACAAAAACATGAATAATGGTTTGATACAGCTATAGCATTTTAAAGCATGAACCAGAAGGAAATGTTCACCATGTTAGGAAACATCAATACTAAAAACCACATTTTCTAAACTTACGATAAATCCAATGCCATTATGATTTCTAGAATACGGGTAAAAGGCACCCAACTGCATCCAACGGGCACACAATTCATACGTTGTATTGTCATTGAAGCCACAGATATCTGCTCCAGTCTGCACATATTAAAAATATTTAATTATCAGTCTCACTTTTTAAAAAAACATAAAGAAACAATTGAAATTATTTTGAATCAAACTTACATAGGATATTCCAAAAAGGCTAAATTCCAACATACCTGAAAAAAGTAATACACTGCTTTAGCAAATGATTTATTTTTTAATAGTCACCATATTAACCACTTATAGGACATTAGAGATTTTGTTTTGATTTTAATTTAGAGGTACATGTATCAGTCTAAATCCAGCCTACATCAAAATTACAAGTATTGATATGTTCCACTCAATCTTCTGCAAGATATTTTTTAAAACCACACATTTGTTTCCTGATGCAGCTTTCTGTAACAAACTTTGGCTTTAGTGTAATTATCTCAATGTACACATTTTATATGTGTAACTGTCCATAGTACACATTTTAATACTCAATTTTATAATATATTCAAGATGTTCAATGAACTTTTAATTCTAAGAGCAACATGATATGGTCAGGAGGATATATTGGTAGGCTATAATGAATTCTGTAACATATTTTGCATCCATTTTGTTAAGTTTCATGTTTTACATTAAAAACAACGATACATATTATACAGAACTGGAAACTTACAGAGAATCCTAAATCCATTCTGCTTTTTTTACAGAAGATAGTTAGACTAAAAGGATGGCCCTCAAATTGGTGATATATTTCAAGCTAGAATTATTATGCATGTTTTAAATTTAATTTAATATTAATTTATGGAGTTTTTTTCTTATAAGAGAAATGATCTATTGGCGGATTCTTTTTATTTTTTAAAAAATGCCTACTTTCAAGTTTATTGATGAAGATACAATATAACCATTTAAGAACTGTGGTAGTGCGTGGCTAGAATGTAATATTGCAGGCTAATTCACTGCTCGCTGCCAGGAGTTCGATCCTGACCTGCTCAAGGTTGACTTAGCCTTCAATTCTTCTGAGGTGAGTAAAATGAGGACCCAGATTGTTGAGGAAAATATGCTGATTCTGTAAACTGCTTAGAGAGGGCTGTAAAACGCTGTGGGGCACTGTATAAGTCTAAGTGTTATTGCTATTGCTATTTATTCTGGGACACGTTTCATAAATGTAGAAAAATATATAACATCACATGCAAATTTCAAAAAAGTGCAACCTAAATGTTTTCCTTAATTAGACTTATGGAAATCTAATTAAGCATGTATTAAATATATTTCAGATGTATAATGAAGGAGAAAAAATACTTTACGCACTAAATGGCCATAAGAATAGTGTTACGGAATATGAAGCTATTTAGTTTCACATTCAATACTTTCAATGCATAGCTATTGCACTTTTCTGGATGAAAATATAAAAGTGACAAAAAATGCATTTATTCAATTTTCAATGTATTAAGAATTAAGTTTAATTCATAAGAAACTGAGAAGATTAAATGTTCCTGGTGAGTATTTTTCATGATTTTTGTTTCTTAATATTCAATAAAAGCCCATGTCATTAATTACATGTTGTTGATATATCCAGAAATGGAGCACATAAATAAATCTGAAAACTACAAAACATGTATGCAGTCCACTGCAAAAATGGGCAGATAAGCATTAAGAGCAACTTTATGCTATTGATACTAAGAGTCTGTTACTGACTGATGTGATTTACTTCCGGTTTCTTTTTCCCCGGCTTTCACTGTTGCCTGATTTAACTATAAAAATACCAGACAGTTCTGCATATTGTCAAAGCAAGAATATACAGTATTTGCAGCGTTGACAAACAGTAGGAATTATATTTGTTTACATAAAAACTGCTAACTACATGCAATTTAGCTTTCACTTACCAATTATGGATTTGTAAAGTTGGTCCCATTTTGAAACATTATCACCTAACCAATGCCCTACCCATTTGCCACTCGATGGATATGTTGAACGAGAAATGACAATGCCACGTTCCCCAGTGATACTATGCAGAGCACTAATAACAGGAATAAAGCAACATTTAGGGTGAGTAATTAAAAATCATGATATATATTTAGAAACAAAAATACATTGCAAATAGTTAAGACCATTATATCAAGGGTGCATCAAGAGTTTTAAACAACAACAGTTGTTAATTAAAATGTGAAGATATTCTAAATTTTAACTTATAAATTTCCAATTTTTTTAAATTCTAAATGCTTGCAAATCGGGTATTTGAATACAGGTAGTCCTTGAGTTCTGACCACAACTGAGCCGAAAATTTATATGTTGAAAGTGAAACATTTGTTAAGCAAGTTTACCCTATTTTATGACTTTTCTTGCCACAGTTGTTAAGTAAATAATTGCATTTGTTAAGCTAATAACACAGTTGTTAAGTGAATCTGGCTTTCCCATTGACTTTGCCTATCAGAAGGTCACAAAAGCTGATCACATGATCCCGGGACACTGCAACCGTCATAAATATGAGTCAGTTGTCAAGCATTCCAATTTTGATCATGTGACCATGGGGATGCTGCAACAGTTGTAAGTATGAAAACATTCGTAAGTCCTTTTTTTCAGTGGTGTTGTAACTTTGAACCATCACTAAATGAACTGGTGTAAGTCAAGGTCCTATAAAGAAAAAGATGTCCTTTCATTCTGTATGCTATTTCCATAACTTTGAGCTGAGAAATTGCTCAGCGTAAATTATCTGTTGGACAATGGGATATGGCAAGGCAAAGCTAAATGGTGAGAAACTTGCCTTATTTTATGTAGAAGGTAAACTGTGGGAAGACAAGACAATAATCAGACAAATATGGCTTAAACCCATTCCAAGAAATTAACTTGAAAAATCTGCTCACACAGATTTACATAATTCACATAATGATAAAATTAATGAAGTGTTGTAAGATTCTATTACTATAGCTGTTCTATTTAAAGTAGTTGTAGACCTATATGGCATTGATTCTTAGTCTAGTCTACCTATAGGGCTGACACAGCTATAAATGCTGAGGCAACTGGACTTTGCAATGTCTCTGCAGTTTTCGTCCTCTACAAAAGATTATACATTTCTATCTTTCTCTCAGAATGAGTAAGAGAAATTCTTTGTCTCAGAATCTTCTCTTGCAATGTTTTTCAACTGATTTTATTGTTGGAGATAATTCAGAGTGCTATTCCTGTTGTTGTTTTCCCTAACACATTTTTCTATCATGCTGAATCCTCTTCAGCTGCCTACGCTTCCCCATTTGAAAAAGCTCAATTGGAGGAATGTTTTCATTATATCATCCCTTGGGATTTAATTAAAGCAGACTGCTAAGAGATGATTATAGAGCAAAAGATATTCACACACAGCCCTCAGCCACCTTGCAACTAAATTAGTGGAATAACATAGCATTCTACTCATAATAATTCCTTTAAAATTCTATTCTGCTGGGAAAGAATTTTTTTTAAAAAAACGTTCTCTTTCATCAATACTGAGTAAGAAAGAATATGAAAAATAAAAAATAAAATCCATACAAACATACATCTATCATAACATTAGTCAAAATATATCCTGATTTCCACTCAAGGTAACATTTGAGGAGTCCTTGGTGGTCTCTGAGCTTGGTTGTTTTCTTTCAGACATTTCATTACTCAAGCTAGGTAACATTATCAATGCTAGTCAAAAGTAGGGTTTCCTTTCATTTTATATTCCAGTGCAGGGGTCCCCAACCCCAGTCCATGGACCAGTACCGGTCCGTGGTATGCCAGTAACTGGTCCGCACAAACAAGCAAAGCCCCATCCGTGGGATACAGGCAGAACACAAAACCATGCACTCTCCGGTCTGCGGAAAAACCTCTCTCCATGGAACCGGATCCTGATGCCCAAAAGGTTGGGGACCTCTGTTCTAGTGGCTTGCCCGGTCAAGTGATCTTGGTGGTTCTTTGGTTGGACTTTTTACTGTTAGCATGTTTGGCTGTTTCTTCATTAGACTATTATTTGCTGCTTAATTGTTGGTCTAATGTTAATCTTGGTGTTAATCACTGCTCATCTGAGTGCTGATTGCTGGTGAGAAGATGTTTTGGTTCCCTTTTGGCTTGTTGATTGTCTCCTTTGAATGGTATATAGATGTCTATTTATTTGTTTGTTTTGTTTGCTGGCCTCATGCTTTGAAGTGATCCTGGGTGGCTTACAACATTAAAAGTAATGTAATAATAAAAGATAAATATTTCTAAAAAGAACAAAAAATAGAATTACAATCCATACTAAAGTTACAGTTAAAAGATTGGGAGGGAAGGAGTGGGTGAGGTGGGGTTTTCTCTTAATTCATCAACCGCTGGAGGGAGGAAGCTGGTAGAGGCTGGTCTAGAAAGACAGAAGGGTAGGAACCAATTCTGAAATCCTGATGACCTCAACCCTGTTAGCCTAACAGAAAGCTTTAAATTTCTGTTTTTCACTTAGGCATTCAGCTAAAATAAACCTATTTATCTTTAAGTTGTTTGATAGGTTAAAAACCCTAGTTTTTAATCTGTGTATGCCATCCAGAGTCACTTCTGTGGAATGGGCATCTATATAAGTAGCTTAAATGTACAAATACATTTGGTTTCTTTTAATTAGATATGTTTTATTAGATATGTGGTGATGGTTTGTTTGTTTATTTATTTAACTTTTGCTTGATGAATGCTGTCGGCATTGTCATTTTAAAAACTGGGCAACTATCTGGATCTTTACACAAGCAGATAAACAAACTCAGGAACATGAACTGCTGTCTAATCTCAAAAGTCAACTGGACTTTATTTGTTTTTTCCTTGAAGACATTTTGCTTCTTATCAAATAAACTTCATTGATTTTGACAGGATGGTGGGGAGGATGTAAGAGAGAGAGTGCTAACCAGAACCAATGAAGCTTCTTGTATGAGGAGTGAATTGTCTTTCAGGAAAAACAAAGAAAGTCCAGTTGCCTTTTGAAAAAGCATATTTGAGACAACCATGACCTGGTTAACTGAGAATCTCCATGGACATTGCTGTCTAATGTATATTTTTTATTGACCATATTACATTCCCATGATTTAAATTACATTAGGAGTTTTTGGCCTCATCTTCAGTTTGTGTGTGTGTGTGTGTGTGTGTGTGTGTGTGTATGTAGACAAAGTGGACCATTATCATATCTTTGGTGAAAGCCCACCTCCATCCCACTTGAAAATTTGTTTATTACTTCATTTGAAAGCCTTCATATAAGCCTCTCTAGCAAGAGAAGTTAAGTGGTGACAGTCCAGGAACCAGCCTTCCTGTGTTCTCTACTTAACCTTTATCTAAAGAGATCAGACTAATTTCCTCTCTTCTTTCTGATAGGTTGTTGTGTTTTGTGTTGTGCGCCACTTGGCCTTTCAGTGATTTTTTAGCTCTGCACTCTCTCACACTCTTGCTCTGTTTTAAAGTTTGACAATTTAACCTTTGTATATTATTTTTTGCAGTTTTAAAATAGGATTTATCCTGGAGTGAAGGACAAGATAAATCAGGAAAGATTTCATAAATAAATAAGAGTAAGATGAACCTGTCATTTATTCTCTTTATTACCATTATTTTGAAGGAAGTGCAAATGCACACACACACACGAACCCAAAATTTAATCCTTCATCTTCAGCTTCATCTAAGGTATCATTACATCTGAATTATTGTTTGCTGATGACATTTAAGTAATATTTGATCCAGCTGGCAATAGGCAAATCTGAAATTCATTCCTTTCTCATCAGCAGTTTTGTAAAAGTTCTGATTGTCAGTGAAATGTTAGAATGCTATCAGATGCAAAGTTCACTCAGATAAATACTGTGATGTTTTTCCCACTTTTTTGTGTGGCAATATGAAACTTGGATCATTATAACTAATTTGGGGGGAAGGCTATTTTTATCCTGAATTGCAGGGTAAAAAACCTATATTATCTGGCATTGTTTCAAACACAAAGTATCTCAATCAGGAATTAATGTGTCATAAAGAGGTTGGGGAACAGACAAAATACATTGTTAAAGCGGTAGTATTTTTCTGTTTCTTTCCATTATATCTACCCTTTTGCCCCTCTTTAACATTTGACTTTTTAAAAAAGTGAATTGCTAAGATTATTAATTTACGAACAAGTATACAGAGCACTTAATTTAAAACAATCATTCTGCATATCCTACATGGAATCCTAGCCAAACAATACCAGCTTTTTAATTAAAGCAGTCCATCATACACTAAGCTTGGAACAAGAGGTTATTTTCTTCTCCAATTCCTTGTGCTACACTCTTAATGGCATATTGAGAAGTTGAAAATTGTTTCATGTCATCAATGAATGGCAGAGCCCTTTTTATTGCAGTTCATGGTTGGTTCATCACACAGGAGTGTCTCAAGTTGGCCTTTGTAGATTATGTTTCAAAATGAATCCATCTCATAAACTCAATAAACTGTATCTGAAAGCACCGGGACAAGATAAAAATTTGGTGACATGGGCATAAACATCCATGTTGAGCTGTATTCAGAATATTAGCTTGGCCATTTTATTTTAGACACAGGTCAGCAACTTCATAAAATTTTACAGAGGAAATATGTACAAATAATTACTCACAACTAGCTGAATAGCTGGGTCTCTTAATATTCTGTCCCAATATACTTGCAGATTTAGTAAGAAGACAGCAAAGCATAAAAGGCCAGTCAAACTGGAAAGGTAAATGTCCCAATGGCACCCAGCTTCTATTGAAGGTTGCAGTTGTATAGTACTCATGGTACTTAGGAAATTAACTTTTTTCTCTGGAATGGCTAAATTGGACAGAGGGGACATTCTCTTTCTTAATAATGTTATTACAGGGAAACAGAGCAAATTTCATAGATGAGCACAGATTTCAATATAACCAAATGTCCCTTGTGCACGTCCAGCACTTATCTACTAAACCATATACTGTAAGATATATTATTATTATTATTTTGAAAAAGTGACTACAATATGCTGTGTTTGTACAGTTGGAATTATGGCTTGTTCCTCCTAACTAGTCTGTTACTTTCAAATAAAAGAGAGAATTCTGTCATCAGTATTGAAGAAAATTCAGTCCATGAAAGGCAGTAGCCCCTTATGTCAGACAGCAAAGTATCTTAGGCCAATCTTGTATGTAAGTTATAGCTTAGCCTATCTTTTATCTTTGGTAACTAAAGATAATTTCCTCCTTATAAATACAAGGGATCCAAGTGGTAAATTTAGAAAGTAGTCTTCTCGGATTTTCAGATACCAGACTATATTGTAAAATGCTATACAGCCTAATATTAAGAAATGACAAATATGCCTAAGATCACTTGTTTGATATCTGGTCTATGGAAAGGATATTTCTGTTGGGCTTTGTTAAATTGCCAAGGAATTCCTTGAAGTAAGAGCAGGATAGAAACATAAAAATTAAAAATGTATGATTTCTTGCCCTCAGTATTACGTTATTGAATATGCCAGTTATAGTCAGTAATTTTTATTATAGAGATGGGTCTAAGAACAGATGAATTAAATCTCAAAAACTCAGTTCATTTTCAACAAATCTTCAACTGCAGGTGTCTATCATGCAATTTACCCTATAACTCTAGCGAGTGCTTTTTTGTAAAAAAAAAAAAAAAAAAAAAAGGTGCCGGAACTCACACATGTCATACAACCCATCTTGCCTACCCTACAAGGTTTACCTTTGTAGTTGAAAAATTTTTTTTTAGTGTATCTAAAAGACTAGGATTTTGTTCAAGGTAAAGTTAATACTATTAATGTTACTATGCACTGTGTGGCTTTAAATTATAAGAAGACATTTTATTAATCTTTTGGGACATTTACCACTGGCATGCCCATTTAGTTTAATGAGTGGAAATGTCAGCTTTCTATGTGGAATGAAATTGGCCCAATAAAACAAAATTTGGTTGCTTGTAAAAGATTTAATTATTTTTAAGAAGTTGTCAAGCAAGGTGAAAAAAATTATATTTGGAGTTTAATATGTATATTGACTTGAAACAAATTCAAGTTGAAACTTTGTCAGTGAACAGATTACTTTTAATTTACCTTTAAGTTAAACCAATTTAATAAATATATCTGATTAAACCTCATACTGTAGGTCTATCTTTACATCTGACCAATACATAATTAATATATATTATTATTAATAATAATTACAAATCACAAGACATTGGCTTTATTCTTATTCTTTCCCTCTGCAGTTTGAATATAAAGTATAAAAGACTAAAAAGAGATTTACGTAGCCTTTGAACTACCCAAAGAACCAAAACAGCAAAGTTTCGCTGTCAGGCAAGCTTCCATGCCAGCCGTCTTTCTTTCCTCTCACTTCATCTCTTTTTAACCTCACACCCCACCTTCTGTAAGGCAGGGCAAAAGTCTCACTCACCCTCTCATGAAAGATGGCCTCCATGTTTATGTGTCTCCCACCACCACCATCGGCTTCTAGACCACATGGTCTGACCCAGCCAATCAAGCCATGCTCTGGCTATGGTGCTCCAGCGTCTTATGGCTCCTCCGGAGGGGAGGACCCATAAGACAGTGCCGGAGGGGACCCCATTCGTACCGTACTGCCAGCAGGGCATTTTGAAAAACAAATGAGGATAGGAAGGGAAACAATAGGAAAAGAACGCAACTCTGGAAAATCCATCGAAAAAAGGTGCCGGAACTCCGTTCTGGTACGTTCTATGACAAAAAAAGCCCTGACTCTAGCTATAATGTTAAAATATTTGAACCATTGCAGAGCAATTTAAAGAAATACACATTTAAATGTTATTATCTGAAACAACAACATCAAAGAATTAAATTAAGATACTGTACATGTATAAACTTTTAATCTCTCATGCAAATTGACTGTAGTAAACTAGGATTCTACTTATTAAATGGAACAACTTCTATAACTACTACTAAATAACTATTAAAGTGATGCTACTACTCAGAGAAAGATAACTTACTCATAGGTAGGCTTAGATTGTGACCATCCATATAAATTGTGGACATCATAATGTCGAACTGGGCTTCCATCAGGCAGAATTTGTTCACTTTCCATACACATGGTTTTCTCATTCAGTCCCACATGTTTTCCCAGAATGTCTGATAAAAATAATAAAAAAATAAATAAATTCAAGGAAGTTAACAGAACCAGATATATCTTTGTCTGAAATTTAGAAATGTAAATTTCTACTTTTTTAGGTAAAATATTTTACATGCCTTGGCCTATAGTGATTTCACATCAGTGAAATGTAGCATACACAATGTGCATAATAAATTTGTGAGAGAACTCACAAAGGTACATGGAAGAGATAGGATAGCGCTATTTCCAAAATATTTTTTACCAGAATCATGTGTCTGATTAATATAAAAAAAATGATTTTAGAAAGTTAGGCTTAATCTAAATTCTGGCATGTTGATATTTTGGCCTCAAATTTACCAACATTCCAAAAAATTAGAATACAGTGTTATAATGATAATTACCTGGCATATATATAGGATTATTTAGTTCAGGGCTCCTGCAACCAGTAACTGCACCATTGACAAAATTTGCAGGTTCATTCATATCCTTAAATAGTAAAACAAATAAAACACAGAGACTGTTATTAAAAATTTCACTAATATTTTATGAAGTGTATACCTAACATTATAGCTAAATGTTTCATTTGAAAATTGCATGCAAATTTTGCACAAAATGATATTGCTTCTTTCTAGTTTATACTATTTGTAAAATTATACAAATGATGTGCTATGATGAAGTAAGCTGTATTTATTTATTTATTTATTTATTTATTCATTCAGTTATTAGTTATTTATCAATTTTTTATATTTTAGGTCCATTTCCCTAACTTAAAGGCTTCCAAACGAGTTGGCTTAGCAATAATTGGGAATAGAAAATTAGTGGGAATTACCAAGCTCCCCAGAAATATAGTTTATAGTCTTAAAATAATATTTTGTTACTGTTAAATGTGATGTCTGAAAACACTGATTAATGTAGAAAGTGTGAACTAGAAATAATGTTACTAAATGTATCAGATAAAACATTACACAAGATAGAAACTTACAATCCATAGTCCATCAAACTTGATGCTTTGTGATTGATTGATGGGGTTATTGTAGACTTCTTCAATTTCTTTTTTCCACCACTGAGCTGTAGATTTGCGAAAAAAATCTGGGAAAGCAGTCCAAGCACTGTAAAACTGAAGAAGAGCAGAAAATGTGAAGAAGAAAACAAAACATCCCATGTATTAGAAAGTAAACTTCTGTTGATATAGTCTATAGCATTTACTACTATTCTGTAATCCTTTTCACAATTAATATGTGAAAAGAATTGGTATGCCCAATTCTATTTCTTTGTGTGTGACTTCTATTTTTGCCACAATATCTTGATCTGATTAATTACCTAAAGTTTCAGGAGTATTTTGAATGTATGCTTTTTTTAAAGGTTATATTATATCTCAATAGAAGAGAATATTGGTAGCTCAGGGTTGACCTCTGGGGTTTTGGTGCTCCATGAGCTTGGTTGTATGCTTGCAGATGTTTCATTATCCAATTAGGTAACATCATCTGTGTGATACAATATATCCTATCCAATATCTTCTGCATATCTAATAAGCAGAAGTTAATAAGATTTCAGAGAAGGAATGTAATCATTTCATTTTACATATTTTAAGAACACTCTATGCTTGCTTCACATAAAATATCCGTAATTTTATGCATAGCCTTTAACCGTGCTTTTTTTGTAAGAAGAAAGGTGCCGGAACTCACATCTTGTTAATCTTTTATTTAAAAAATTATATATTCAGTTCTTAGCAGGATCGGTGGTTGAGAAGTAATTAGTTTTTTTTTTCATTTTTAAATTTGGGGTCACACTTTTACACTAAAAAATTTAAAAAAGATTTTCAATTCACTAACGATTTTTTAAAATAAAGACATTATTTACCTTCGTACCAATTACTGTACACACACCCATACATGTCAGTTGTGTAATGAAACATAATGGTTGCCGCCTGCGGTAAGCACTCAGTGCATGATTACAAGACCAATCACATGCCGAGCAGTGCCACAAGCTGAGCAGTGCCATCACAACCAGTGTGGCCGAAGTATGCATGCATCGGACTCGACACACAGCAGCCTACATGCACCATTTTAATGATTTTGCTGCCAACCTGCTATGCTCAACAGGGTGATTCAAGTCCACATGGACCAAACATCAAATTTTCAAAAGTTATTTTTAAAACTTGGAAAATCCATCAAAAAAAGGTGCCGGAACTCTGTTCCGGTGTGTTCTATGACAAAAAAAGCACTGGTCTTTAAAAAATTTCTTAGGGCTCTCTGGAATCTTTATAGTTATATTCCTGGAATAACAGAATAGGAAGGGACATTGGAAGTCTTCATTATACCATTTTAGACAAGTAGTTGTCCAATCTCTTCTCAGAAATCTCCAATGATGGAACACCCACAACTTCTGAAGGCAAACCCTCACTGATTAATTGTTCAGGAAATTTATCTTTATTTCTAGGTTGGTTTTCTCATTGATTAGTTTCCATCCATTGCTTCTTGGTCTACCTTCAGGTACTTTGGAGAATAGGTTGATACCCTCTTCTTTGTGGCAGCCCTTTAGATATCACCACTAGTCCTTTTTTTTTCATTAAACTACACTTACCCAATTCCAATAAGTCACTGAGAAATTAGCAGAGCTTACTTATGAGTAAATGTGTGTCAGGAAACATGTTTGGACTGATAAAAAAAACCAATGGGGTTTTGAATGTTTCCACACTAGAATAGTTTTCTAACAAAAACCCAGACTTTTAATAAAACTCTTCCCATGCAGTAAGTATGAAAGAAAAGCCTGCTAAATCAGGTCAACGGGTCAAGCATTCTGTGTCAACAATTCTTTTCTGCTGCTGCATCCTAGCAGCTGGTATTTAATAGCAGACACTGGTATTAAATACTATACAAGGTAACCAAGATAATTTGCCTCATTATAGGGGGTATTGTGAAAGGATGTATATAAATTCCAATGGGGTTATAAATGAGTTTCAAAGTTCTTTGAATTTTAACCTTTGTATCTATTGCTGTGAGATTCAGAGAGCAGCAGCTTTGCTGTGTTTTTCTCATAATGTTTCCCCATGAGGTACAAGCTTTGTGATTTTTAATCTAAATTTAATCTATCTCAACATAAACCAGAGAATTGGCCATTCAGGCATTCAGAGATTATACTTGTTCCAACAACCTCCAGATCAGAGTACATTCATCCAGCTTCTTCCAATTGCAGATTTTCAACAATGTGACTGAAGTTATATTAGTTTTTGCTATAATTGCTGTTACTATTACTACTAAAATTACTATTAAGGTTTATTAGTATAAAAATTTGCTTGGGACATTTTTACCAAAGCAGTGCATGAATAAATTACACTTACTTTCACTTTATCATCCCAACTGAGTGATGAATTTATAGCAATGCCAGGAAGATATGGCCACACCTAAAATAAAAAGAACATTTGAAAATAATTAGCTTTAAGAATTAATTAAAGGAAAGGCAGACTTTTTCTTACAAATAATCCATTGTCAAAATTTGTTTGCCTCTCATTGTTACCAAAATGGGGAAAATTACATAAAAAATAAGGCAAAGGCAGTTATGACTCTAAGCTAGAGGTCCTCCAGCTTGGTTGTTGAGGAGATTGTAGTGCAGCTGGGAACATGGGAATCCTTTTTACTCAGCGATAATAGTGATGATGGTTTGGCATCTGCCCTGGATTGAGTTCTTAGCTGAGCAATGGAGGAAATGGGGATGCAAGGATCCTTTATATGCCAGAGAATTTAAGCATATGGAGAATGGGGCTGTTCAGTAATGGGAGTAGGAACATATGGGTGGTCCAGCAAAAAAGAAAAACAACAATTGTATCCTCCAGGTGTCATGTAGTTGGCATGCATAATACAGCAGCTATCTTGGTTATTGTTTTTGTCTTGCATAGAAAAGGATCTGGAATCTGCCTTAAATGTTTCAGCTTTTGACAATTTCTGCTTTCTTTCTTTCTTTCTTTCTTTCTTTCTTTCTTTCTTTCTTTCGTTCTTTCTTTTTCTTTCTTTTTCTTTTTTTTCTTTTTTCACATCTCTGTTGCTACTGTCTGCTCTGAGATCAGGGAAGGCTACAACTATACTGGTTATCTTTCAGTGGGAAAGATTTTTTTTCCCTACAGCAATGCAGGTAAGAGTGGAGAGGGTGGGAAATTGATGTGAAGAACAAAAGTGGTAGTGGGAAGTAGGTTGGCTGAACAGCTTTCAGACTGTTGAGCACTATGATAAAATATCCTGGATGTCTGGGCTAGTTACTTATTTGGAGAAGTATGTTATCTGGTTGGAAGATAGGGTGCTTTGAAATGCAGAACATTGGCAAGAGTCAAGGGAATTTGATGTTTTGTAGGAGGAAATGGCAGAAAATCACAATATGCCTATGAGAGGCATAGCAAATGTAACAGAAACAGGAAGGGCTGCTTTTGGAGAAGGCAGCCTTAGTATTTGATATTCATGCCACGTTCCAGTTCTATCTATTCTTCCCAGGATCTGTTCTTCAGAGTTTCTCTTTGACTCAGTCCTAGCAAGACTATAGAGGTGTGGATTAAGATGCCCCCTGGATCTGAAGATTTTCTATCTCTGTATTGGATGGGGTAAGCACTCCTTCAGTATTGGTGCACAATTATGGGTCCTCTTGAAGGACTTTGTACAAATCTATCTTGTCTGCTAATTGTGTTTCTGGATGCACGTTTGTTTCTGGATCTTGCATACTTGTTAACTTGACTTCTGTACACCCATTTCACATAGAATATGTGACTCTAGGTAGCAAGTAATAAAATAGATAAAACCAGTAAAATGCATAATATAATAATAGACAGCTGAGCAAATCATAAAATGACAATGGGCTATATTACACACCAAGGGCCCAAAACCCAGGCACAAAAAGCCACTAACAAAGGGCTAACCCAGCGGTTCTCAACCTATGGGTCGGGACCCCATTTGGGGTCGATCGACCATTTCACGGGGGTCGCCAAGCAAGGCTGTCCGCCATTTTTCCCCCTTTTCCGGCGGGTGCCTTACCTCCCTTGAGCTGGGCCAGCTGGTGGTCGGCCTGCTCCGTCTCTGCCGCTTGCCAGCTACGCCTCAGCCGGCGCAGGGGGCGGAACCATGCATGCGTGGCGCTCCCGGGCAGGGAAAGTCCTCGACTTATGACCGGTTGGATAGTCCTTGACTTACGACCGGTTTAGTCCTCAACTTACGACTGGTTTAGTCCTCGACTTACGACTGGTTGGGGGTCGCAGCATTAAAAAGGTTGAGAACCACTGGGCTAACCTAATCACAGAGAGAATAGTGTTCCAAAGCGTGGGCACAATGACAGAAAAGACTGTGCAAGTGAAGTCTGCCACCTGCTCTCCAAGCAACAGCCACAAGTACAGAACGACACCCAGGTTGTACACTGGATCTGCCTGTGATAGTGCCATCATATCCACAATCAAAGATTAAAGATCTATGGAATCAGCAGGTCAAACATCTTAGAGTCACTCAGTCTTGCTTGGACTGGGCTGAAATCTAAAGATGAAATTATTCTCGGGGACATGTTTATTTCCCTAAGACCTGGAATATGAGGGATAGTTTTCTTTGGCTGTTTTTTTTTATGATCAGACCTTGTTCTTTTTGTTACTTGTTTGGTTCTATTTTATCAGACCATGCCATCTTACTGGAAATATTTTTATTGGTTGTTTGTATCATTAGCTGTCCAGAATCAATTAAATTGGGGAAGGAAGGAAGGAAGGAAGGAAGGAAGGAAGGAAGGAAGGAAGGAAGGAAGGAAGGAAGGAAGAATAATTGTTAGCTATATTGAGTGCTATTCTTTAGCATAAAGGCAAGGCACAAAATTACGATTATAAAATATTACCTTCCCCCACACAATATCATTGCTATTAGGCCACTTAATGAAAACATCATCCCGAAGTCCTCTTGTGAAAGCAGGATAATCAGTTTCATTTCCTGAGATGGCTGGATCCTGAAATGAAAGAGTAAGCTCTTTAGATTTACATCTAAATCTAGAAGTCCAACATATAGCACAGGCAATCCTATAGTGGAAATGTAACAGCTGTGGAAATGACAAATATAACTGCTTTCTTTCTTTCTTTCTTTCTTTCTTTCTTTCTTTCTTTCTTTCTTTCTTTCTTTCTTTCTTTCTTTCTTTCTTTCTTTCTTTCAGATTATTGTTGATTCCTGGTGATTGCCTGGACAGGTTCCTGCAGTTTTCTTGGCAAGGTTTTTGAGAAGTGATTTGTCATTTCTACGTATAAGAGAGAGTGACCCAACATCAGTCAACTAACTTTGCATCTAAGGCAGGATTAGAATTCCTAATCTCCCTCTTTCTAGACCGCTATGATGAGGTCAAATAAATGGAAGGGATTATTGAAAGTTTTCCCCGACAATTTAGGAGTCATCCTGATATAGAAAGACTATGTTACAAGAGGCAACACACCTTTCTCATGGAAGAACTTCACATTGTCCAAAAGTATTTCCACTTTTGGTCTGTAGGAGCAAGCTCTATAGACTTTCATCACAACCTACTCTATAGTGAAAAGCTAGAAAGTGTACATGGGACTGCGAAATAGAAGAGAACAAAAAGACATATTTGATTCTCTTTTTCTTAGAAGCAGTATTTCCTTCAAACCTTAACTGAAGTAAAGATTAAATTTAAGAGATTTTATATGTTTACTATGGTCATAATGGAAACAGGACACTGGAGAAACCTCAGTGCTTAGATATAGCATTCCAACATCAATTCCAATCAAAGAATAGCACAATTTAGATAAAGAAGCTGTACTTGCACTTCTATCACACTCAGTTATTCATATAATTCATACTCATATAATTCACAAGAGTAATTGTGGTAGAAAATATTAAAACAAAAGTAAAAGAAGCTTATACTGTATTAATGGCAGTCATATTCACAATCAAAATAGTGGCAAAAGATTGTTGGTGTTGTTGTCAGGAAGTAGACAACCATTATACAATTCATTCAACAATACCCAAGAACACACTAATAATATCTGATGCATAATGGAAGAAAGCAAAAGAGTCCTTTGCCTTTAAAAACAAGAGTGTGTTTAGCACACTGACCTGCCATTTAAAACATTTCTGTTCAGGAAGAATTAGAATTAAAATGGAATATGGAACATCTAAAGCTTACAAAATTGAGAAGGGGTTATGCCAAGATTGAATATGGTCATCTTACTGTAATGATAATTTTGCATTAAAAACAGGGCTTTTTTGTCGTAGAACGCTCAGAACAGAGTTCTGGCGCCATTTTTGGATGGAACCTTGTAGTGTAGGCAAGGCGGGTTGTATGACGTGTGTGAGTTCCGGCATCTTTTTTTTTTTTTTACAAAAAAACCACTGATTAAAAATATATCTATATGCGTAGAGAATCAGAGAAATGACTTTAGGGGAAATAGTCAACAACTTTATACACCAAAGAGGGCTGAAATATTCCTTAAGTCTTAGGAAACCTTAGGAAATTACTATTATGCTCAGATATCTAAAAAAGCAAAGCAATCCATCCAAAGATACACATTGTCATAACTGGGATGGATGGATGGATGGATGGATGGATGGATGGATGGATGGATAATTGTGTCTGTGTTGTTAGATTAAAGCAACTTGTCTGAATAATTAATGAATAGCACTTACCAAAATGATGACAAATCTCATTCCATCCTTTTTTATTCTGTTAATCAGAGCTGGAAGATTTGCAAAATTGGGACTTAAAGTGAAATCCAACTGCCGCTCCATGTAGTCAATATCGGCATATTGTACATCCTAAGAAAAACAGATAATTTTGTGAAGTGATGTGTGTTTTTTATAACAAACCCATTATAAACTATTCATTTTCAAATAAATAAATAAACAAACAAACAAAAAACAAACAAATAAATAAATGAAACATCAAGGAACAAAAGACTACTGCACCACTAGAACTTCTGTTAAACCCAGTACATGTTTGTTTTTAGACTGGTAGTGCTGTTATTATCCATAAGAAATAACTGATATTATAACTTTGTCAGATTGACAATTAATCTCTTTCTATTTTAACATTTCTTTTGAATTGCTGACTTTTTAAATATTTATCCAGAGCTTTTAGGTGTTTTAGCAGCTCTAGAAAAGGTTTTGTTTCATACTACCATAATTTAGCATAACGATAATGCATAGCTTCTTATTCATATGAAACTAACTCAAGTAATTTTATTACATTCTCTTTTTTTGGATATAAAGCTGTGAAAAAATGCTCATTTTTGAATAACTTACATATGATATGTTAGCTGCTTTCATGTTATCATACAATTCAGATATTTCTGCATCATCTTTGTAGCCATATCGACACAACTGGAATCCTAAACCCCAATATGGAGGTAAAACTGGACGTCCAATGAGCTAATAAAAAAACAAAAGGAAATAGGGACTATATGTTCTATGTTGTGTTGGTATAATAAGGAATGTTATAATCATATTTTAGAGTTGATTTTTTGTAATAAGAGTTCTTACTGCGGTATATTTTTGAACAACTTGTTCTGGAGTTGGACCCAAAACCATGTAAAAGTCCAAAATTCCTCCAATGGTACGGTAGGTTAAAGCAGGAGTTGGCTGGAATTTTACCTCTGAAAATTCACAAAGGGGAAATAAATATTACATAGACCTGAAAGTACTGTTATATAAAATAAAAAAATCAAACAATAAAAATGAAAATCACTCCTCTGTCATTTCACCTCCGAGATGAGCAACCTGATGTACAATCTTCTCCCTTGAAATCACAGGAAATGTGCTGTATCTCATCTGCTAACCACAGAGACATTTCCCAGCAAGAGGAACCAGGTAACTGTATCAAATTATTTGCTTTGGCTAAGCTATTTCACAAATAATAGTAATCTGTCGTTTAACTTGGAATAACATATGCTAAAACAGACATATAGTGTCACATTTTTGATGGCAGATTTATTTATTTTTATATAGAAATGGTAACTTGTTTTAGCTATTTGCTTGCAGATGGATAAATATTTCAGACTGAGCAAGAAAATAAGAACTTTTTATTTTCATACTGGTAGAATTAACAGTGCAGGGATTGGCAAAAATCATGTTGAGTCTGATCTGGCCTATGAATTAATGTTCACCAATATGATATGCATTATATTAGTTTAGAATAGACACCAGGAAATGAACTTACCCATTCCATTACTGTTCAACAATAGGACTCCATGAGCATTGCCATCTTCTTCCAAGGCCATATAAAAAGGGTGAACTCCATAAGTGTTAAATCTATACTATAAGCATAAAGATTTTTTTTTAAATGTCATAACCAAGTGCATATATATATTGTCAGCCTGTGAATATCGATGGAATCCAATAAATTACATTCTCAATA